TCCCAGACACATAATAATTTACCTAAACAAAGTAGGTATGATAGAAAAAATCCTAAAGATAGCAAGAGAAAAAGGCCAGATCACCTACCATGGAAGAACAACTGGAATAGCAGCAGATTTATCTACAGAAACCCTGCAGGCTAGGAGAGCTTGGAGCCCTATCTTCAAAGTTCTAAAAGATAAACAATTTCAACCACGAATAGCCCACACAGCCAAGCTAAGCTTCATCAGTGAGGGAGAATTAAAATCTTTCCCAGATTTCCAATCCCTAAAAACTTATGCTGCCACCAGACCACCTCTACAAAAAACACTAAAGAAAGTACTAAACACAGAAGAAAAGAAAAAAACAACAACGTTCTTCACAAGAGTCCAGAAAAAAGAGGAAAACACACACGAACCAACACCCAAACCAAAAGAAAGACCAAAAAAAAAAAAAAACCAAGTGGAAGAACAACAACTCTATAAGAACTCTATAATAGGAACAAACTCTCACGTTTCAATAATTAGCCTGAATGTGAATGGACTGAACACACCACTGAAAAGACATAGAATGACAAAATGGATGAAATATCACCAGGCAACAATATACTGCCTTCAAGAGGCACATCTCACTAGAAAGGACATACACAGACTCAAAGTAAGAGGATGGGATACAAATTTTCCGGCGAATGGAACACAAAAGAAAGGAGGAGTCGTTATCATAATTTCAGACAAAATACCCTTTAAGCTATCAAAAATTAAAAAAGATACAGAAGGCCACTACATATTGATAAAAGGTTCACTCCATCAATAAGAAATATCTATCCTAAACATATATACACCCAACATAGGAGTGCCAACTTTCATAAAGAAGCTACTAGGAAAACTCAAAGAAGATATTGACTCTAACACTATCATAGCTGGGGACTTTAATACCCCACTCACAACCCTAGACAGATCATCAGGACAAAAAAATCAGCAGTGAGATCCGGAACCTCAGTGTGACTCGACCAAATGGACTTAATTGATACTCTGTCTGGGTGACAGAGTGAGACTCCAACTCAAAAAAAAAAAAAGAAAGGATAAACAAGATCAATGGTCCCCTAGCTAGACTGACCAAGAAAAAAAGAGAAAAAGCCCAAATAAATACAATCAGAAACACAAAAGATGAAGTCACATCTGACTCTGAAGAAGTACAAAAGATCATTAGAGACTACTATGTATACTTGTATGGAAACAAAACTTGAAAACCTTAAGACAACGAAGACTTTCTGACATCACACAACCTGCCTAGGTTGAAACAAGAAGAAATCGAGACCCTAAATAGATCAATAACAATCAAGGAAATTGACTATGTAATAAGAAAACTACCTACAAAAAAGAAGCCCTGGACCAGATGACTTTCCAGCAGAATTCCATAAGACATTTAAGGAGGAGCTGATACCAATCCTACTGAAAGCATTCCAGGCGATTGAGGAAGATGGAACCCTCCCCAAATCATTTTATGAAGCTCACATCACATTGATACCCAAGCCAGGTAAAGACAAAGAAAGAGAACTACAGGCCAATATGTTTGACGAACATAGATGCCAAAATTTTCAACAAGATCCTAAAAACCGGATTCAACAACACATCTCAAAAATCATCCATTATGACCAAGTAGGATTCATCCCTGGGAAGCAAGCCTGGTTCAACATTCACAAAACAATAAATGTAATTAAATACATCGACAGATGTCAGAACAAAAACCACATGATTATATCATTAGATGTGGAAAATTCTTTTGATAGAATCCAGCACCCCTTCTTGATAAAAACCCTCGAACATCTAGGCATACATGGAACATACCTCAAAATAGTAAAAGCCATCTACGAGAAACCCACAGCCAGCATATTCCTAAACAGACAAAAATTGGAACCATTTCCCCTGAAAACTGGAACAAGACAAAGATGCCCACTCTCTCCCCTCCTGTTCAATATAGTATTGGAAGTCCTGACTAGAGAAATCAGAAAATAGAAGGTGATAAGGGGTATCCAAATAGGAAAAGAGGAAGTCAAGTTATCTCTCTTTGCAGATGACATAATTGTGTACCTTGAAAACCCAAGAGAATCTGTCAAAAGTCTCCTTGCACTGATAAAGGACTTTGGCAAAGTCTCAGGGTATAAAATAAATGTGCAAAACACAATCGCATTTCTTTACCCCAATAATAAACAGAAACCCAAATAAAAAGCAAAAACCCATTCACAGTAGCCACAAAAAATAAATAAATAAAATACCTTGGCATCTTCCTAACCAAAGATGTGAAAGACCTTTACAATGAAAACTATAAAACACTGCTCAAAGAAATTAAAGGTGACACAAACAAGTGAAAAAATATCCCATGCTCATGGATTGGAAGAATCAATATTGTGAAGATGTCCATCTTACCTAAGGCAATCTACAGATTTAATGCAGTACCCATCAAATTACCAGCAACATTCTTCTCAGAGAAAAAACAATACATGTATTCATATGGAAACACAAACGACCAAGAATAGCCAGAGCAATCCTCAGCAAAAAAAAAAACAAAGCAGGAGGTATCACATTACCAGACTTCAAACCTTACTATAAAGCTACAATAATCAAAACAGCTTGGTATTGGTACAAGAATGGGTATATAGACCAATGGGATAGAATTGAGATTCCAGAAGCAAAACCTCAATTTTTCAACCAACTCATTTTTGAAAACGCCTCCACTACCTATCACTGGGGAGAGGATAACTTATTCAGTAAATGGTGCTGGGAAAACTGGCTGACCACATGCAGAAGATTCAAACCAGTCCCCTATATATCCCCATACACAAAAATTAACTCTAAATGGATCAGAGACCTAAATGTAAAACTTCAAAGCATAAGAACCCTAGAAAATGCAGGACACACCCTTATGGAAATTGGAACTGGCATCCAATTCCTGAACAAAACCTGAAACGCATAGGCCATAAGAGATAAGATAGACTGGTGAGAACTCATTAAACTGACAATCTTCTGCAAAGCCAAAGAAACTATCAAGAGAGCAGGGAGATGTCCTACAGACTGGGAAAAAGTCTTTTCCAACTCCACGTCTGACAAAGGCCTAACATCTTGGATCTACAAGGAACTCAAACGTGCTGAAACGAAGAAAACAAACAACCCCATTACAAAGTGGGCAAAAGATATGAACAGACACTTCTCAAAAGAAGACATACGAGCGACCAACAGACACATGAAGAAATGTTCAACCTCGCTAATCATCAAGGAGAAGCAAATTAAAACTACACTGCGATACCTAACTCCAATCAGAACAGCCATTATCAGTAACTCAAAAAATAGCAGATACTGGAGAAGTTGTGGTGAAAAGGGAACACTTTTACACTGTTGGTGGGGGTGTAAACTAGTGCAACCTCTGTGGAAAGCAGTGTGGCAATTCCTAAAAGCTCTAAATGTTGACCTCCCATATGACCTCACAATCCCCCTACTGGGAATATACCCTGAAGAACTCAAATCACTCTATAAAAAAGATACCTGCACACGTATGTTTATCACAGCATTGTTCACAATAGCAAGAACCTGTAACCAACCATGCTGTCCATTATAGGAGGACTGGATTAAAAAAATGTACATATACACAATGGAATACTATGCAAACATAAAAAGGAACAAAATCATGAATTTTGCAGCCATCTGGATGGAACTAGAGTTTATAATACTGAGTGATCTCCCACAGAAACAAAGATTTTAGTATCACATGTTCTCACTCATAAGTAGACTTTGAACATCTATCGTAATCCTATAAGAAAAGGATTGATAGTAGTGGGAAACTATGGGGGGGGCAGAGAGGGGCAGGGAGTTGGAATTAACAGTAGTCTATATCTGTCTGGGGATGGGGGGGACACCCCTTATCAACAAGGGTGCCTGAATGATGCATATTTGTATACCCAACCCTTAACTGTCCCCACAATTTTAAAATAAAAAATATGTTTAATAAAAAAATAAAAAATAAAAATAAATAAATAAATAAAAAATATTCAGCATCACTGATCATCAGGGAAATGCAGATTAAAACCACAGTGCAATACCATTTTACACCTGTCAGAATGGCCATTATTAAAAATAAAAAAACAATAGATGCTGGTGCAGATGAGAGGAAGGGGAACACTTAGACACTCTTGGTGTGAGTGTAACTTAGTACAACCTCTATGGAAAGTGGTATGAAGATTACGCAAGGCTTTTAATTTTTTGTTGCTATTGTAAATGGGATTGTTCTCTTGATTTCTTTTTCAGATTGTTTAATATTAATGTATAGATTCACTATAATTATTTTGTGTTGATTTTGTGTCCAGTAACTTTATTATATTCCTTTATTAGTTCGATTTTTTTTGGTGACATCCTTAGGGTTTTCTTTATATAAGATCATGTGATCAGCAAACAGTGACAATTTCACTTTCTTTCCTACTTTGGATGCCTTTTATTTATTTATTTTTACCTAATTGCTCTTGCTAAGACTTCCAGTACTATATTAAATAGAAGTGGCAAAAATGGACATCCTTGTCTTATTCCAGATCTTAGAGGAAAGGCTTTCAATATTTCACTGTTAAGTAATGGTAAAAATCTTTGAATTAGCTTTATTATTGTAAGATTGATGGCAATAAAAAAATCCAAGCTACCTAACAAAAAGCAATCCAATTTTTCTCTATCCTCTTGCCATCTCAATCATTTTATTTGTGTTTAAAATAATGGGATACATAAATAATAAAGTGGCTAACTATATAATCTAATGTTTTCTTTCCCGACAGTTTTTCTTACATAAAACTATGAATTGGTAATAATAGCTGGCTTAATTTAAAGCATCTTGATTATTAAGTTGAAACTATATTACATAATACATCATATAAATATGTATGATATTTAGTGTGATAATAGCAGATTTTAGAAAATACTATTTGAATATAGAATTAATCAAGTCTCATCCCCCTCTCTCATATTTTCCCCTGTGATTTGCTTAGATTGCCACTGAGGAGCCATTGAATCCCATTAAGCAATACGTAAAGGATGACAAGCTACGATATGTGGCAAATATCTTCCCTTACAAGGGTTATATATGGAATTATGGTGCCCTCCCTCAGGTAACATTTTGTTATAATGGTAAAACTTTTCTATCTTCTGACAAAATTGCCTTGTAAATCCTATGAACTACTTGAATTTAAATTGGTTCTGAGGACATGTCAGTAGGAGAGATTTGTACATTTAAAGTTTTTTTAATATGGAGTTTTATTGCACCAATAAATTTTGTTTTGAACTCTATATATGTCTATACTCAAGTTCTTGGAGTTAGGCATATAGAATGTTCATGTTTGACATTTTGAACACATTTCTTTTTCTGGTCTTAGTTATGAAAAAATTTTAAGCTAGGCTGTATCTTTATTCCTTTAAATATGATAAGTTATTCCTTTATATACATTCATATATGATAACATGAATTTTATTTAAACTTTAATAGGTGAATGTTTTAAATTGTTAACCTTTTCCCCAGATTTTATTGTAAACTGAATTAGGCAACTTTACTGGTATTATTCACTATTAAGAGTTTATAATTTTAAAGTAGAAAGTAGGGAAAAGAGCTAATTAATGGTAAGGCAGCATTCCTCTTGGAGAATGATACTTACTATTTGTTTCTCTTCCTTTCTTTTCCTTTTTGGTTTTTCTCGTGTTTTCTCATGCCTGGGAAGTGGTAACTCTTTTATATTATTCAGTGATTAAAACTCAGACTATGCTGAATCAAGTATAGGTTTTGGGGACTTAGAGAACCATCTTCCTTTATGTTTATAAAAACCATTAGACCATCCATCTATCTGCAGATTGAATATATTTTTATTTATTAATTTTAATATTTCACATGAAATTTTAAGATGCTATTAGGAAAATACCCAGAAACAGTAGTCTTGCTGTATTTAGCATGTTAAAGCAACTGCCCATGTAGAGTAAAAATTCAGGAGAAAAGAAAAAAGTGAATTATTTTCTTAGAGTCAGGGTGTTTTTGATGCAGTTAGACCACTCACATGGATACGTTCTTAGTTAAAATGGGTACCTTTGAAATGATGAGCTAAGAATGAGAATGCCTATTGAAACCATGAAAACAGGTTTTCTGACTCCCCAGTTGCCTAAATGGTTATTCTGTTTGACCCAACAGTGGAAAGTTAAAATTTTCTATTAAACTTAGGGGATACAATCTACAGGAAAGGATGGATGGATGAGAGAAAGACTGAAGAAACCATTGAATTAGAGACAGACAAAAACAGACATAAAGTAGATCAGGTAGGGGATAAACTAAAGTTCATATGTTTGTTTATTTCTTTAAACATTAACTAAGGATTTATGTGCTAGGCAGTATATTAGGTGTTAAGTATACAAAGGCAGATGAGACATAGATATAGGATCAAGGCAGCATAACAAGTTACTAAGAATGTGGGTTTGGGAAACCAATTATCACTATCTAGTTATGTGACCTTGGGCAAGATACTTTTTCTTTCTGTGCCTCACTTTTCATCTGTAAAAATGGAGAACATAAAATCTCTATTGCAAATGATTGTGCTAAGGATAAATGAATTATTGTATTAGAATATCATATAACTTATAGTAATCTATTATAATTATAATTATGACTGGTACTTTTGGTATCTTATGGTTCTTTGTCAAGTTATTTATAGTCTGATTGGGGCAATTGATAACTAAAGCACTGGGTACAATGTAGACACTATTAACTCACCTACCAATTCTGTTATCTTATTGTGGAAAGAAAATAAGCAGACCTATTGATGGGAAGGAAAGGAGGTGAGGAATGGAGTAAAATCAAAAGAAGCTTCTGTCAGTTTCTGTTTAAAGCCCTGCCAAATTTTTGTGCCCCTCTGGATGTGTTTGAATTTTTAAGATGTTCTTATCTGCAATGGTATTAGTCTATTAGTACAGAAGTTTTCTATTAATATAATAGAAATATTAATATAATAGAATTAGACTGCAGCAGTCTCTTTTTTCTATTCACTCTACATTCACTGTTACTTACCTAAGTTTCAGACTCCTTGCAACATCCAGAATATTGTAAAAACATAAATCTGCTAATAGTTTCCCCATACAAGAATACTTTAATGATCTCCTATTGCTAAAAGACATTCTCTAACATTGCTCAACTCTGTATGATATGGCCTCTGCTTACTTCTCCAACCTCATTTTGCAACACTCTTTCTCACTTCCATCCAGCACAATGACTTCTTAAGTGTTTCTAATGTCCCTCAACGTGTCCACACCAGGTCTTCACAGAACTGTTCATTCACTCAATATCTATTTATTGGGTGTCTGATATTTGCTAGGTATTCCTGTTCTAAGTACTGCAGGTAAAGTAGTGATAAAAGTGACACATATTCCTTTGGAACTTTTATTTTAGGCAGATAAGCAGGCAATAAACAAACCGCAAGTAAAACATTAGGTGGTGGTGTGTGTTGGAGAAAAATTAAGCAGGGAACAAGAGTAGGGTGAGTTAGGATTGTTGCAACTTAAGATAGGGTGATGACCTCAGTGAGGAGGTGTTATCTGAAGTGAGGGAATAAGTAGTGTGACATCTAGAGGAAAAGCAGTCCAACAAGAGACTGCAAATGTAAAGGTCCTGAGGTGGAAGTTGGCTTGAATGTTTGAATATCATAAAGGAGGCCAGTATAGCCAGAATGGAAGTGAGGGAGAGGTAAGAGATCTGCATTCTCTCTGCCATTTTTAACTAGAAAACTGTACTATCTTTTTAAGCCCAAACTGATCTTGTTGTTTGTGTGTGTGTGTGTGTGTGTGTTAGTGTGTGTGTTAGTCAGTCTTCAGAGAAAGATTGGGTTGTAATCATTGGATTACATATAAGTTAGTTATTTAATGTTGAAATCATGCTATATGCTTACGGAAAGGGATAATTCTGCCTAATTTTTTTTCCTTGTCAATGATTAGACACAGTGAGCCTATTAAAATGAAAGCTAGTCCTTGGTCCTGTTTACTTTTCTAATCTCATCTTCGATTTTTCCTCCTCCTTCTGTCCCTCACTGCCACATGCTCTGATGCACCAGGCACACTCCTGCCTCAGACCTTCACTGTCACTGTGTCCTCTCACTGGAATACTCTTTACTGGGTATGCGCATGGTGTACCTCCTTAAATATTTGTTCACAAGTCACCTTCTTTGTGATATCTGCCAAACATCCTTTAAAACTTTTAACCTTTCTTCTTGTCTCCCATTCCCCCATCCATACTTTATTTTCCCTTTTCATAATACCTACCAAATTGTAACCTGCTGTATAATTTAGTTATTTATTGTTTTTATTGTTAGTTTCTTTGAGCTAGAATGCAGACTTCATGAGGGCAAGGATTCTGTGTTTTGTTTACTTACATTGTTTCATAGCTGTGTGTGGCTATTATGTTTTGCTATTCTCCTATGATTTGTCTTGTAACAGCAGGAAATTTGTTCAGAGCTGTAACCAAACCAACTGTGCTTGGAAGAACATTTAAACAGCAGAATGTATTTAAGTAGCAGTCTCTCCACTAGCTTGTGACTCATCGGTGTGCGTTTATTATTCAGACTTTCAGCTGTCTAGACTATTAGCCTTAGTAACTTTTCCCACACTCCTAATAATGCCTTTATCAATGTTTGAGCTTTCCTGGGCAAAAATTGTCTTTGTCTTCCCCCAATTTATTCATATTACCCAGATATAGCAGGTTATTTCAATTTTATATCTTTCTCAGTGAATATTTAGAAAACTTTTCTGGGAAATACTGAAGGACTAGAGTCACTTTAAATTTAAGGGTTTTTTTGGTTTTTTTTGTTTTTGAAAACGTACATTGGGTTTTATTTGGATTCCAAAATAGTTTCAGCAGTAAAGTTCATGAACAAATTATTATTGCATTACTTGGCTATTTTTCTGAACATTTAAAAAATGTTATCTTGTTAACTCTTCATAACAACCTAGTGAAATAACAGTTTTTGTGACATATTGATGTGTTTATTTTGAACTTAATTATAAATTTACTTTATTATCTCCAACCAAATATCGTATGTACCACTTATTTGCTTTATAACTTGAGACAAGTGACTAAATCTTTCTAGGCCTGTTTGTTTATCTGTATGCTCATACCACCTACCCCACAAAGTTATTGTTAATGTTTTTAATGAATTGATCAGAGAAAAATGTTTAGCTTCATAATGAGTTCTTAATAATGTTAACTCAGTGATGATAACACTTTTGCTACTGATGTTAACTGCTAATAGTATAAACACTGGTAGAGACTCTCACTCCAGATTGAAGCTGGGAAAGCTTAAGATCTTACTTCCTTTGACTTGGTGATAGAAATCCTGATAGGATAGTCAGGAAGGAGCTCTCAAGAACTACCTGTATACACATCTTTGTACAATTCGGTGATTTTTGTATTGGTTAATGTTTATAGGTTGTAAGGTAATGATCTCAAACACCTGCACAAGGATGAGAAAAATTTGTTTTATGGATATGTGTATTCTGATTAATTTATTTTCTAAATTTTATAGTCATCTTTTATATAACACTATTTATCTTCCTGTGAGAAGCTGTAGTTTTTTGTTATGCCTTTCTTGGGTCCATGCTAAAATTTTTCTGTATAGATAGTATATATAGGTATACCCTCTTAGGTATATACTTATGAGTCAAATAGTGATTTATGTACCTATTTTTATTTAGTAAGTATTCCCAAATTGTTTGCAAAAGTATTGTAACAATTTATACTCCTTACCAGCAATATATAGGGTTCCAGGTGCCCTACATTCTTACTAATATTTGGAAATATCAGATTTTAAAGTTTTTGAAATGGTGTCTCATTGTGATTTTAATTTTTCTATCAGACTGTGTATATTTTCACAAATTTATGAGTCATTCATGTTTCCTCTTCTTTGAATTGTCTGTTCATATCTTCACCCCATTTTTGTTGGGTTATCCTTTTCCTTAGTTAGTTGCAGAAGTTATTTCTAAATTCTGAATGCAATCATTTATAATTTTTGTGAAAAAAAATTAAGATTTTGAACTTCCACTTCTTGGTATTTCTTCTCTAGCCTTTTGCTTTTCTAGTTGTCTCTTTGCCTAGTCATATACCTAAAACTCCAGAAGAGGGTATGTCCAAAGTTTTAAATTTGTCAAGATTTTCTTTTCTGTTGAGACTACACTATACTTTCAAGTTAAATTAGAGGCCATTTAGTGTATATCTCTTTTTGTAGTAAAAACTGAGACCTGATTAGATTTAAAGTATTAAAGGCAAGGGTGGAAATAGAAAGAGTCAGTCTTGTATTTTTGCTCATAAGGACAATTGTGAAGAATGTGCCCTAATCTTAATATTGTAGAGCTTAAAAATTTGCATTTGTGTACTTAATTCCCCAACAGAAACAGAAGTAACTATAAATTGATAGGTATGTTGAAAGTAGAGTTCTGAGGGTAATATAGACAAATCAACCAATAGAAACACCCACTAAAGCCAAATTGAATACAAATATGTTAAAACAGGTTTTGTCTCAGTATAAGGAAGAACTTTAAAAAGTAACATTGATCAAAATGGACTAAATTAGCTTATGGATCTGTGAGCTTCCTGCTCACTGGTAGTATTCATACAGATTGAATAAGCACTAACAATCTTAAAATGTTAGGGCTAAGATATATCTAAAAATTGTCTTATTTAAGCCATGTCTTTTTTTTTTTTTTTTGAGTTGGAGTCTCACTCTGTCGCCCAGACTGGAGTGCAGTGGCCACTCCTGGCCACCGCAGCCTCGAACTGCTGGGCTCCGGCGATCCTTCCTTCTCAGCCTTCCGAGTAGCTGGAACTACAGGCGTGCGCTACCACACCCGGCTAGTTTTTTTTTATTTATAGTGGAGATGAGGTCTCGCCAAGTTGCCCAGGCGGGTCTCGAACCCGCGGGCTCAGGCAATCCACTCACCTCGGCCTCCCAAAGTGCTGGGATTACAGGCTGAGCCACCGAGCCCGGCCAAGCCATCTCTTTTATACCTGAGGAAACTGAGATCTGGATCTTTATCCAAGGTAGTGTGTGACTGAGGAAGTTCTAGAATTTAGATGTCTTCCTTTAGGCCATTGTGACTTTTATCATCTCACATTTGTTCTCTTTGGGAGTAGGAGTGGGAATATGGGACGTTTAAGAGAGATTCTTGCATTAAGAAGGGTGAACCTTTCAGATATGTTCTGATTCTGCACCTAGGTTATTTAGTCCAATTATATCGTGGTCCCATCTCGGTTTCCCAGCACATTCATTACTTTTATAACATTAGTTACAAATGCCATACTATTAACATGACATTCTCCAGGGTATTGACTATGTCCTTTTCATCTCTGTTCCTGGCCCAAAATAGATACTCAATTAATATTTTATTTTATGAGTGAATGCTTGGTAATAGCAAAAAAAGAAGCAGTGATGGGAAGCCTAGGAAAGAACAGAACCTCTGTAGAAAAACATTCTTCAGAGATTCTGTGAGTAAGAGAAGGTATTTTTAAAAGCAGAACCATGAAATAGAATGAGATTATATCTGAAAGTAATTGCCAGTCAATTGCTATAGTTATCACAATTTGGAAATAAAAAATAATGATTAATAGCATGAATTCTATCCCATTCTGCCATTTAGAAACTGTGAGTTTAGACAATTTAAACTGTGTGCTTCAATTTACTTATCTGTAAAATGGGGTTATGGGACATTTCTCATGTGGTTGATATATGTATATGTGTGTATGTTGTGTGTGTATATCACTTAAAAAGTGTCTGACATCTATAATCAAGATGTAAGGCTAACAATTATGGTTATTTATTTATTTATTTATTTTGAGTTGGAGTCTCACTCTGTCACTCAGACTGGAGTGCAGTGGCCGCTCCTGGCCACCGCAGCCTTGACCTGCTGGGCTCCAGTGATCCTTCCGCCTCAGCCTTCTAAGTAGCTGGAACTACAGGCGCACGCTACCATGCCTGGCTAATTTTTTATTTTTATTGTAAAGATGAGGTCTCGCCAATTTGCCCAGGTCTCGAACCCGCAGGCTTAGGCAATCCACCTCCCAAAGGTGCGGGATTATAGGCTGAGCCACCAAGCCCGGCTAATTATGGTTATTTTTATATTTTCTTAGTAGTATTAGTATTTGGGGTAGTGAAATATTTTGAACTTTGTTTATTGATGTTTTTAAAGGTGAGGTTGGGACAGTTTATTTCTGAATATAATGTAATTAGAACTAGAAGGAAAATATTAGAGTTTATCTAGAGTTTAGGTATAAATAAGAATTCATTTTTAATTATCTATATAAAATTAGAGAAAATAAACTTGGGTAATCTGAAATCCTAGATAATAGTGATAAACGAATCTTTAGATGACATGGTCTCTATATCCCTTATAATGTAAAATTAAAGCAGATTAGGGAATTTCTACAGTCCTATTTAGAATCAGGCATATTTGAGGCTTTTTGGGAAGGGTGGTACCTAAGAGATATTTAAACTTGCTAGCAAATTTCTATTATGCTATTCCTTTATGAAAATGCCAATGTATACATTTTGTAACTAATGGGGTATAATATTGCCAGTAAACTAAAGAACTGACACCTTTTCATGTTTTTGTCAAGGTCTTGAGATTTGGTCATAAAGATAGAGGATTTTTAAATGGATTGAAATCAGACAAAATAGTTTTTTCTTTTCTTTACTAGATATCGTCTTTTTAAAATTTTATTTTATGAAGGGAAACCCAGGTTTCTTTTTGGTACAATTCATTTAAAAAAATAGGAAGTTTAGATCCCCGTGATGCTACCATGTCAAAGGAAGCAATGAATGACAAAAGCTAGAGTTCAGGTAGTCAGTGGAAACATACGAACAAGGGTAGAGAAGATGGTAACATCTACTGAAACTCTAAACATGAATATGAATTTGGTCACTGACTAAACTTGGAAGACAAGTATGTCTGGAAATACCACCCACTTTCTGATGTGATTATACAGACAAATGAGAAATAGAGGGAGGAAATACTATAAATTTGTATTAAGTATTGTGATGCTTGGAGACATCCTGGCATACTGACCTTGATTTTAAGTAATTTCTGAGATTTTTTTTTCTTTGGATTATTGCTACCTGTGAAACTTCATGATCATGTGGAAAGATTAAGATACATTACAGTGTTAACTTATATTTCTGTCTTTTTTCTCTTTAGACTTGGGAAGATCCTAATCAAAAAGATAAGAGCACAGACTGCTGTGGAGATAATGATCCTATTGATGTTTGTGAAATAGGCTCAAAGGTTTGTTTCATACACAGTGTTAATTTTAACATGTGTCTTGGTTCATTAATGCCATAAAATTTCATTTCAGCCTCCAGTTCTTCAAATCTTCAAAGTTTGAGCCCATTGTCTTCTCTGATATTGTCTCTTCTTATATTTTCCCTTCCTTCTCTTAAATTAGGGGTTGGTAAATTACAACCCTGCAGCAAGTCAAATCCTGCCTACTACCTGTTTTCATAAATAACACAGCTATGTCCATCTGTATACATATTGTCTATGGCTGCTTTTATGCCACAGTGGCAGAGATGAGGAGTTGTAGTAGAGATTGTGTGGTCTGCACAGCCTAAAATATTTACCATTGGACCCTTTTTTAGAAAATGTGGAGGCCAAGGCGAAAGGTTGCCTGAACCCTGGGGTTCGAGACCTGCCTGGGCAACTTGGTGAGACCTCGTCTCTACAATAAAATCACAAAAACTAGCAGGGCATGGTGGCGCTCATCTGTAGTTCCAGCTACTCAGAAGACTGAGGCCGAGGGATCTCCTAAGCCCAGCAGGTTGAGGCTGTGGTGGCTGTGAGTATGCCATTACACTCCAGCCTGGGTGACAAAAGCGAGGCGCCAACTCAAAAAAAAAAAAAAGAAAAAAGCAAATGTTTGCTAAGTCCTTTCTTCAGCTTCCTAGCTCATTACTCATTTAGAAACTTCACTACTCATGAAAGTCAGCTGGTACTTTTTCTTTGTACCTGCTTCTAGGTTGCCAAGAACTAGCAGGGAAAAACAAAACCCACAATCTCATAGATTGATGCTTCCATTATGTTTTTGGTCAGTTCTCATTTCTGTTTTCTACTGCATTTATTACTAATGCTTCTTGTTCTATGTAGACAGTTAGTTATTCCTACTTTGTTTTCACTCCTAGCAGAAATCTCATCTTTAGCTTTGTAGAGCTCAGACAAACCAGCAGATAAGAACTACAGATAAGAACTACCTTTCCTTTCCCCTGAGACTTATAAACTATCTATGCCTGCAAACTTTGTTTCTTCTCCTCCTTCTGGTACTGTGAGAGTTGTTTTTTTAATCCAAGGCGCGAGATGTCATCTGTGTTATAGATCAGATCCTCTCCCTTCTCACCTCTTGAGTGACCGTATTTTCTTTTTTCTTTTTTTTTTTTTTTGAGTTGGAGTCTCTGTTGCCCAGACTGGAGTGCAGTGGCCGCTCCCGGCCACCGCAGCCTCGACCTGGGCTGGGCTCCGGTGATCCTTCCGCCTCAGCCTTCCAAGTAGTCGGAATTACAGGCATGCGCTATCACACCTGGCTGATTTTTTGATTTATTGTAGAGATGAGGTCTCGCTGCCCAGGCGGGTCTCGAACCCGCGGGCTCAGGCAATCCATTTACCTCAGGCTCCCAAAGGCGTGGGATTACAGGCTGAGCCACCAAGCCCGGCTGTGACTGTATTTTCTTACCACTTATTTCCTGTATTAAGAACACCCTCCTATTTTATTGGCTTTCTCCCATATGCTACCTCTTTTTCTCCTCTTTACATGACGACTTGTAAAGAGTTTCAACACTCACCTCCATTTCCTACTTCCATTTAACCTTCACTCCACTGCAAAGCTGTTTCCATCTCCCCCATTATGTCCATGAAACTGTTCTCACTAAGGTCACTGGTAGCTTTCTTTTAGTCAGAACCAACAGTCTTGTTTTACAATCTTTGTCTAACTGGAATTTACCTTAGCATTTTATGTTGTTAACCTTGTCTTCCTTCTTGAGTCAAAGTCAAGTCTTTGCTTGCTTTGGTTATATCATAAGGTCTTGGATTTTCTCTAATTGTCTCGTTTTGTTTCCTTTTCCTTTTCCCTTTTCCTTTCCTTTCCTTTCCTTCCTTTTTTGCAAACTATGTTTCTTCTGCCCTCTCCTTAAATATTGACTAGCTTGAGAGTTATGCCTTATCCAATTCCTGTTGTTTTTTATTTTTTAATTTTTAGTTTTTAATATGTAGGGGTACAATTCAGGGTTAGGTATACAAATGTTCATTATACAGGCACCCTTATTGATGAGATGTGTCCCCTCCTCCTCTGGCACTTGACATAGAGCAACTGTCTTGATGATCCAATCCCATGGATTCATGGTTTTGCTCTCAAATTGATAGGTTCAGTTCAGACCCATACTCAACTGCCTACATCTATACTTGAATGTCTGCCAGGCATCTTAAACTCATCATGTTCAAAACTAAATTATTTTCTTCTCTCCAACTTACTCCTCTCTTAATATTTTCAGTCTCAGTGAATGACATCTCTTTTCCTTCCTTCCTATCCTCAGATTCTTGTGCCAGAAACTGAGGGATCATTCTTTACTTCTCCTCATTCAATTAATCATGAAATATAGACTTTGTTCTAAATAGCCCTTAAATCTATTTAGTACCATTCTCACTGCTGCAGCTTTTTCTAGTCCACTTGAATTATGTCTCACTTGAATTATTCTTGCAACTAACCCATTTCCTTGCTGAGTCTTATTTTCCTAGTATAGCTTATTCTAAACTCTTTTCTTGCTTTACTCTTTTTTAGTACCTGGACTCTACCTCTTTTTTCTGGCTTCTCCTTGCTACTCCTTGTTTGCATAAACCCTCCAGCTGTATTGGTCTTCCTTCTTTTCCTATAGTGCATCTTCCTAGAGTGTTCTTGCTCATGGCCTTCACACAAGGTATTCCTTCTATGTAGAATGTAGTATTCTTCCCTCTTCACTTTATTTTACTTCCTTCTTTTCACTTTTATGTCCCCTGCTCCTCTTCAGATCTCAGCTAACATATCAGTTCCTCTTTGAAATCTTCCTTAACTTCCATAGACTAAGATAATCACCATTTGTTATGTGCTTCCATAGTACTAGCTGTGCTTTTTTGTTTAATTTTCTTCTCTATGAAGTGACAGTAGGCTTTATGAAAACAGGACTCACCATTGTATGTATTACTAATGTTTAACTCAGTGCCTGGCGCACAGCATATGCTTAATTTAAGGGATACCAACTTGAATTATATAGACTTCTAGTTTAGGATGACTCACTATCTGAAAACTCATATTAGCACTTTCAGACTTTTGGATATTATGTAGTAAGTAGCTACCTCTGATTCATTGTCAGTTTATTTACTATATTATTTTTTTGTTGTTGTTGTCCTCTATTTTCTGTTTCCCACCCTTCCTTACTTTGCTTTCTCATTTCTTCTCTTCTTCATCTTCTTAGTCTTTCTGTTTCTGCCTTTGCAGTTTCTCTTTCTGTTTTACTACCTCTCTGTTTCTTTTTTCTACTCTTCTTCTCCCCATTCTCTGTCTCCTCTTTTCTTTCTCCTTTCCTCTTACTCCTTTCCTACAGGTAAGAGATCCCCATTCCATCTCCTATTTCTAGTTTTATACACACATCGGTTAGAATTTGTCTCTGTGTGTGACTCTGTAATACCTATATCTCTCTAGCAGAAATATGACCAAATTGTAGTATTATTTTTTCAAATTTAAGGGATAATTTGGAAAGTTTTTTGTTTTTTTTTTACATTTTCTTTCCTGAGGAATAGCAAAGTATGTATAAAATAAATAGATCAGAAAGAAAAGTAATGTAAATATTTTAATGTGTACCTCCTCTCTTCCAAATACTATGGAAGGTACTTTAGTCACTTCCCCATATCTTATTTCATGATATGTAAGAGTCACCAAATGAAATGACATTACATTGATGGAAAGATTATATATTTGAAAATGCTTATTCTGAGGATGGAGTTTCTAGAGTAGTTCAGTTCATATTTAGCACAGGTTATTGAGTCAATTTAAACCATTAGGCAGGTATTTAGTATAAGTGAAAAGATTAAATGGAAGTATTTTACTTTTGCTCATTGAAAATTTGTCCGTGAGCCTGTAATTAATGAGATTGCTATAACTGGAGAAATGCTGTGAAAATGTATGTTCCTGATAAATTCATTTGGCTTAGTAACATTAATTTGTTACTGACAGAACAAAGGGATAACTCTAAGACAATTCGATAAATGGGTTTTTAAATAAACCTATCAAAGTCACTAAATATGAAGAATAAAATCGAAGATTTTACATATAAGTGATTTTTAATATGACATATAATTGAAAGCATGTTTCACATTTTACATTGAAAACTTGGTACAAGCCGGGCTCAGTGGCTCAGCCTGTAATCCCGCGCCTTTGGGAGGCTGAGGTGAGTGGATTGCCTGAGCCCGCGGGTTCGAGACCTGCCTGGGCAGCGAGACCTCATCTGTACAATAAATCAAAAAATCAGCCGGGCATGGTAGCGCATACCTGTAATTCCGGCTACTTGGAAGGCTGAGGTGGAAGGATCGCCGGAGCCCAGCAGGTCGAGGCTGCAGTGGCCAGGAGTGGCCACTGCACTCCATTCTGGGCGACAGAGTGAGACTCCAACTCAAAAAAAAAAAAAAAAAGAAAACTTGGTACATAGTAGATGTTTAGTACATAATTACTAAAAAATATATCAACTAATTGTTATTTTGTGTAAATATAGTGTTAATTATAAATGGTGAAATGAGTATACTCTGGTTTAATGTAGACCATTATATTGTGAAGTATAGGATAAATTCTTATGGACCAAGAGCAAGGAAGATATCCTAGAATGATGAAATTATTAGAAGTCATACAAAAGAAAAAATAAATTTATAGGCATTGCAGTTGCCAATAGATAATCATGCTACTATTTAAATCCAGTAATGATTAAAATGCTAATGTTTTGTCTTCTATGGGAACAAATTTTTTATTTTTGCCTAGTTTTTTTTTTTATCTTTGACCTGAATTCCTTCAATTTTGTAGGATTTTGTTTCAATATTATTAATTGTACAAGAAAATTATCGTTATATTAATGGAAACAAAATCAAGGACAGACTTTACAATCCTGCTACCTCAGCAAATCATACTTGTTAGGTCAAAATCCCAACGAGGCCATCAAAATGTTAGGTCAGACTATCGGAGTCTGTAATACGGTGCCATACAAAAGATTAAAGAATTG